GGCAGAGAGAGAGGGAGACACAGAATCGGAAACAGGCTCCAGGTTCTGAGCCATCAGCCCAGAGCCCGACGCGGGGCTCGAACTCACGGACCGCGAGATCGTGACCTGGCTGAAGTCGGACGCTTAACCGACTGCACCACCCAGGCGCCCCCTAACACTGTGCTTTTTAATCCTCACTTTGTGAGGTACAGCACATTTCCCTCTATTTAACAGTCACAGGAGCTCAGAATTAAATGGTTTAGCCAGAAGAACATGGCTGGTTGGATAAAATATGGATCTTTTTTAAAAAGTGTATGTTCACATTTACATATTGATATTTCACTTTTCTGATCATTGTTTCTTTCTACCTTTCTGTAGATTATGTTCCTTATGTCAATGCTGTTGATTCAAGGTGGAGTTCATATGGTAACGAGGCCACGTCATCAGCACACTATATTGAACGGTAATGTTACTCTTACTTCTTTTGGATTCTCTATTTTCAGACTTGTGTGTATCCTCAGAGTATAGATCCTACCCCCGATTATTCATGAAGCGTACTTTAATGATTTTAGCTGAATAACAGATTTCTGAGAAAACATTTAAATGATGACTGAAACTTTCAGGGTTGATTAATTACAGAAAACGTATTTGGTATATGGCCATTACTGCTTTAGTTGCTTCAACTCTTTCAATTTTATAATTGTAAACATATTTCTCTTTAAAGGGACAGATTCATTGTTACTGATTTATCTGGTCATCGAAAGCATTCCAGTACTGGAGACCTTTTGAGCATTGAACTTCAGCAGGTAGTCTCTGTGTCCCTCAGCTTTAAATTCTTAAAATAAAATGGCAGTTGAAAGCTATGGTTGAAAGCTAACTTTACCTTTGTTTTTTTTCCCCTATAGGCCAAGAGTAACTCATTGCTTCTTCAGAGGGAGGCCAATGCACTGGCCATGCAGCAGAAGTGGAATTCCCTGGATGAAGGCCGCCACCTTACCTTAAATCTTCTAAGCAAGGAAATTGAACTGAGAAATGGAGAGGTAAAAAAACTGAACCTCTCAGCTTCATGCTTAATGTATTTGCTGTTTGGTGCTGCTGTGTGTTAGTTTATGCCATTACCTAGTGTATGTTAGCATTCCTTTTTCTGGTGGATGATTGTTTTTCAAACTCAGAATAGAAATAAAATTGCAGTACCAGCTTGTATTTCAATCATTGAGATTCTTACTTTAATCTAAAAGGGGGGCCCCAGCTTCCCCAGGTATAAAATCAGCATTTTTTCTTTATTACAGAGTGATTATACAGAAGATGCAAGCGATACTAAGCCTGATAGGGATATTGAGTTAGAGCTTTCGGCACTTGATACTGATGAACCTGATGGACAAGGTGAACAAATGGAAGTAAGTGCCACAATTAGATATTTAGGAAGCTTTATTCGATTGGAAACTATAAAATACTTTCATACTGAAGGATTAACATTTTATTTTCTTAGGAGATCCTGGACATACAGCTGGGTATCAGTTCTCAAAATGATCAGTTGCTGAATGGAACAGCAGTGGAAAATGGGCATCCAGTCCAACAGCACCAGAAGGAGCCACTGGAGCAGAAGAGACAGAGTTTAGGTGAAGACCATGTGATTCTGTGAGTGTTAGACAGATAACTCATAACCAGTGGACATAGGTTGTGAATATTTAAATAAAATAAATGCAGTGTTACCTGCAATTTTGGCTCTCTCCTGTGAGGCGAAGACCTTATGTAATAGGGCAGTGATTGGGTCAGTCTGAATTTTTAGGAGAGAAGAGGTAAACTTAAACAAAATAGTCCATTTTTAAGTAGCCTGAGACCTGCTTTTTGTGTGGATAAAAGTTTGTCCTCGTGCTCCAGCATCAGGTTAATACTTCCTCAGTCTGGTAGGCACACTCCTAGACTACACAATTGAGAATTAAAATCTAGATGAAGGGTTTCCCTTTTAAAAAAATCATGTTAAGGTATTCTTAGATTTAGGGGCACCTGGATAGCTCAGTTGGTTAAGCGTCCGACTTCAGCTCTGGTCACAATCTCGCGGTTCGTGAGTTTGAGCTCCACATCGGGCTCTGTGCTGACAGTTCAGAGCCTGGAGCCTGCTTTGGATTCTGTGTTTCCCTCTGTCTCTCTGCCCCTCCCCTGCTCACGCGCTGTCTCTCTCTCAATAATAAATAAACATTAAAAAAACATTTTTTTTAATTAAAGATATTCTTAGATTTAATATTGCCATTTTATATAATTACCGCCAAAATTATGGGTTAGTCTTGAACTTAATAGTTTGTTGGCCTTAAATTAGCCAGCATTTTAATTTTTTTTAATGTTTATTTATTTTTGAGAGAGAGAGAGAGAGAGACCAAGCATGAGCAGGGGAGGGGCAGAGAGAGGGGAGACACAGAATCTGAAGCAGGCTCCAGGCTCTGAGCTGTCAGCACAGAGCCTGATGTGGGGCTCGAACTTACGGACTGTGAGATCATGACCTGAGCTGAAGTCTGTTAACCAACTGAGCCACCCAGGTGCCCCTTATAATGTTTTTTTAAGTTTACTCATTTATTTTTTGAGAGAGAGAGCATGAGCAGAGGAGGGGCAGAGAGAGAATATCCCAAGTAGGCCCAGTGCTGAGCCACCCAGGTGCCCGTCTAGTATTTTAATTTTTTAAATAAGATTTTTGGAAAAAGGGACTTTTTTAGTGACTGCTGATATTTTTTAGTGATAAATACATGCCTTTACTAGGGGCTTTTGAAGTTTGTTACAGCTAATATTAAGCATGTATAGTTATTCTTTAAAGGGTTATTCACTTAAAGCTAATTTGTTTTCAATGTCCTTTATTTTCTCTCAGGGAGGAGCAAAAAACAATTCTGCCGGTAACTTCTTGCTTTAGCCAGCCACTCCCAGTGTCCATTAGCAATGCAAGTTGCCTCCCCATCACCACATCTGTCAGTGTTGGCAACCTCATTCTGAAAACTCACGTTATGTCTGAAGATAAAAACGACTTTTTAAAACCTGTTGCAAATGGGAAGATGGTTAACAGCTGAAAGGAGGTTCATCTTTCAAATTTGTGACCATACCATGGAAGCATTTACACTAGCTTTTTATATATATAATATATATTATATAATGTATATTTTTTTTAAAAAAAGATATTACCGGGGGCATCCATTTCCTGTGGACTCTTTGATACTTCAAGCCCTCTTGCATTAGCATTATGAAAAAAAAAGAAAATTTACTTTACTAGGGTAACACGTTCACTTTCCAGAGGTGATTGGAATTTGGACATTTAACTTAAGCTTCAAGCAGCTTTTTATGAGTTTGTAGCAATCCGGTGCAGTAACTGAGCCATTTCCTATTTTAAATGGCTTCTATAGAAAATTAACAACTCAGTTATTAAACTAGCAGGATCCTACAATGATACATCTAGTGAAAGTAGACTTAATTAACTTATTTATTTCTATTTTATGTTTTGCTGAGAGAAATTTCCATCTCATTCCAGCTGCTTTATTTATCTTTTTCATGGGACTTTGCATGGATTTTTTTTCTTTTTTCTTTCTTTCCTTTTTTTTCTTTTTTTTTTCTTTTTTTACTTTGAAGAGTGGAGTTAGATGTTCTTACCATAGAATTTTACAGGGTTATATACTAGCTTTCTTTACTGCATTATATGTAGGAGTGTGGTGCAGTGCTTTTATCTGTAGCATTGAAATTTTTTTTAATTTTCCATTTTTCAAGACTAGTTTCTGCTTTGTTAATATTTATACACAGGCTACTTGTTGAAGTAAGTAATTAAATATATAACCAAGTGCCTAAGTCTTTCAGCTGATGTACTAGATATTAAATTCTCCTAAGTTATGCAGAATCGTTTTTACAATTTTGATAAATTATGCACTAATGTAATGGCAGTTTTTTAAAACGCAGATTTAAGCCTGTACATTATTGAATCTGATGACTTGGCAAAAGAATCAGGTGCTTTCAGCTTTCTTGAGAAAACCCTGTATGTAGCGTTTGCACTGACTAACAAGATGGTATTGCTGGGTTTTTTTTATTTAAACTGATTAATTTGGATGTTCATTGCAATATCTTGGTTAAGTATTGTTTATTGTTACTTCACGTTGCGTTTAATTTTCCTTGTTTTCTGACCGTTAGGTTGATAAGACTATGAACCATGTAATAATAGAACATTGGCTAACCTTTATTCGTACTTAAAAACATGAGTAATTTCTGCCCTGCTAAATGTGACTGAAAGTGTTTGGACCTGGCATCTGGAAGCATGCAGTATGTTCAACCAGCCATGCCCCAGATTTGGGGGAGGTATTTTTGAAACCTAAACTTCAGTCGACATTTGGAAACAAAAACTGGGCATTCCTTTCTGGTGATCTCACCTATAGTTTGTCTTTGTTTTTCCCCAGTTTCTTTAAGATTAGTTTGACTTTTATTATTTTTTTTAATTAACTTCTGTGAAGTTGTTTACTCTGAAAATTGTACTGGAATATTTTAAGCCAAGCTGATCTTTCACCAGGTGTACTGTATGTAAGGGCTTTTCCTGCTAGCAAGATGCTTAAACAGGATCATGTTATTGGTCGTCTGAGCTATTTAGTTGTTTTACAAAACCACAGCATTGTATCAGATAAGATTTTGATAAAAAGTTTTGTGCACATTTCCAGGGGCGGGAGGGTTGACATTTCCCTGAAATTTCTTGATCAGAATGAGTAAATACTGGTGTTTGATACCTGTCTTAATGAACATGCTCATAAGGTGACTGATAAGTTGTAAATATACCTGAGAAACAAAGGGGTAGTTTTGATATTCTGGTGTCAGTATGGAAGATCTTACACATTTATTTAATAATCAAATGTATGAGGATGTTTGTTTGTAGCATAACAGCACAGTAGCCTTGACTTCGTTTCCTTTGGTTAGTACTGTACCCTTTTGCCATGGCCAGTGCTCCCTATCCCTACAAAGACATTTTATTTATTTCACTCTGTAACCTGAAATGAATAGGAACAAGAGTTTTAAACCATGTTACATTAACTTATTTCTGACATTATAAATTAGCCTAGGATATTACAGGAACATGATTGTTATATAATTTATATCAGAACCCTTCTATAAATATGCGCTTATTACATTTAAAATGCTTCCAGTGTACTTTATTTGCTGTTTGTATTTCCAAAAAGGATATGCAAACCAGTATGTCTATTTCATGGATATTTAAATAGTGAGATCTTCCATGTTGAAGGTAATGTATTTTTTTTTAAGATTTTAAAATTGCTATTTTGTTACAAAATAGAGACCTATTAACAGTTTGAGAGCTCCTTATGTGCCCTCAGGGAAAGAACCCTCTGTGCAACAGAACTACGCAAAACATCTTCAGCACGTTCTGAGGGTGAATATATACTACATAAATTGATCTTGTGTATTTAACCTTATCTTTTTAATTTTAAAATTGAAATTTTGAAACTTGGTTGTGCTCTGCTGGAGGGGTTTGGGATAAACTGCTTAGGTGTTTGCCTACTTGTCCAGTGAAATTACATTTGCATCAGTGTATGTATATACCTGCCAACCTTATTGGTATGTCTCAGAACATTTATATTAAAATAATGCTTGTCTTGCAGCAGGTGATCCCATAAAACAATAACTCCCTGTTCTTAAAAACTTACTCTCGTTCTCACTAACAACATAGGAATTGTTTCTTTGTTGGGATTATTCTGTATTGCATCCTTTATATAGTGGCCATCTTCTGTTTCTCATGGTGGGTTTAACGTGAGGGAAATATGTTGGTTCTCTGCCACTTTAGAAGAAAGAGCAGTCTTTCTGATCCTTCTTCAAAAAGTTACTCCCTAATGTCAAGAGGAAAAAAATTATAAATCAGACCTAGGATGTGACTTTTTAAAATTGGGTGCCTTCCCTGTCATCTGACCCTTTTACCAACATGTGATGTACATGCGTTTGAAATCAGTATATAAGGCAATAGGAGAGGAAATGTGTGATGTTGGTAATTTAACTACGTGTGGTGCCTAGGTTCAATTAGGAAAAAACAGTCTGAGGTCTGGAAAGTGGGAAAATGGTGGGTTGTGTGTTTGGTTTACTTCTTACATTTTTGTTTTTCCATTTCTGAGTCCCATTCCAAAGTCCATGTGCCTCATTCAGATTCTGTGAATCTAAATTCAGTAGTTCTCTTTTGTAGTATCGTTTCATTTTATAAATTCTGAGAAGATTATGTATGTATTTCATCTAGTTGGTGCCTGACCAGAGCAGATTCCCTTGCCTGTCCTGCCATGACTTCCTTTCAGTACCATCTGATAAGCAAGTGTCATGCATGAAGGTCGTGCATATAATTTTCAAGAGAAGGTAGTGATTCGTTGGGTCGATGGCACTGATTTTTTCCTAGTAGTTACTTACTCTCACAAGAGTATTATAAAAGAAACCTCGCCTCCTGTACGAGAACTGAAATTTTCCATTTGTATGGATCTAGTCCCGTTCACTCAAATTTCAAGTTGATTCCAAGTGTATAAAGCACATCCCAATTTTACATGCTGCCTTGAGAAAATAAGAAGATGCACAGCTATTTCTAGGAATTTAAAATGGGATCATTTAAACATTTGAAAACGTTTTAAAAACCATCTAGCTTGCTCTTGCATTTTAGATGTTAACGCCTGTGTTGTCTTGTTAGCAGGGGTGCAATTGTAATGATTAGATTCAGATTCAGCATGTGATTTCAACTTTGAATCTGAATGTTTCTTCCCTAGCTTCTTTGTGTCATTTCCTGAGCAGACTGTCACCAGTGTTGGTAACTAGGCTTAAAGGGAAAAGTTGCATTGCAACTATGTGTTAGTTTCCTGGAAGAACTTTTCTTGTGTTTTAGTGAGTGAAGAGTGTTGATGGGATCACTTACTGTAACTCCTTCATGAGAACCCCTTCTGCAAGCAGAAGCAGAACACAAATGAACGTGCTCAAGGAGTATCCCATTTTCTGGATAAATTGAATACATTTGCTAGTTGTTCCTTTTACTAGCAGTTTCTTTGTATCCCTTTGCTGGCAAGGGAATACAAGGAGTCAAGGCCACTGATCAGAACACCCCACATTTGAGTGGAGTCTTATTTCTACTCCAAGAGCAGTTATTCCCCCAAATCCAAAATTGGCAATTTTTCTTTTTTTAAATAAAATTTTAAAAATATCCTCAAACCAGTGGAACATAGACACTGGCTGCACTTAGTACTGCCAACAGCCAAGGTCATTTGCATATATTCCATCAATCTGTCGAGAATTAGGCCTCACTTTATAACCCAAGGCATGGAAGTGCATGCATTCTCTTAGCTGGGCAAACAATTATACTGTAGTTGTGATACAACACATGTGGCTTTTATTTGTACTGCACATATCCACTGTACAGCCACTTGGGAGTATCGTGGTTAGCTTGCAGCAACTGCTGTCTGCATTTATACTGTTTATTGCATATTCTTTTCCCTGGAAGTGAAAGAGAAATGTTTTTCTTGTTGCATTGATTACATTTTATAAATTTGCTTAGCTGGAAAGTTTGGGAAAAGAGGCCTGTTTGTCAATTGTACAACCGATTGTGAAGCTCTAGTGTGAATATTTTTACGTCTGTATTAGACATTTTCTTTGCAAATCTATTGTTCGATTGAAATGTAAATGAAATTAAAGATGGTGTACACCCATCATGTAAAAAGCAGGCACCATCTCTAAGATGGATTTAATGCTCATTTTTAAGGCATATACTCAGCTTCTATTTAAAACTATAATTTAAAATAATTCTGTACAATGAAATGGGGAATATATATGGGAATAAATTCTATTCCATTTATTTCAATTTGAATTTCCAAATTGTAATGTTTCCCTTTGTGCTATAGGAATAGGATTAAATGGGGGAAGGCTAGGATTTCTAAAGGCCTGTATATGGGGGGAGGGCAGAGATGGAACAATGAGGGTTGTGATGATAGTGAATAGCAAAGAGTGAATTCTGTGTGTTTTTGCTGTAGCACTGAAGTGAAGAGATATTAGCTTTGGCTGTTCACAGAATAGA